TATAACCATATATTCCTTAAGGAATAGAATACAGATATGAAATACAAATCTTCGTCAAATATGATTATATATGGTTTCAAAGTGACAGAGTATAATTTGATCGTATAGTCAGAATGAATATATGTAATTAGATTATTATGAATTATTGTATGAATATGGTCATAAATACCGTAAGTTAAACTCAGAACTTATCATATGGCATGAAATTCACAGTTTATATGTTAATAGTTAATAATTGAGTTATCTTCCATAAATCCAAGAAAAAATAATTCACCCAGCTCTGCGAGAATCCTAGAAAAATAAAACTAAAAACCTCGGCCTGAAAGTAACGTCCAGTCCGTAGCGCGCGCCACCACGAAGAGATTGGTGTAAGGTAATGTGCTAGTAATCAGGGAACCCAAAGGTACAATCGGAAGAAATCTTTCAGGTAAGGGAGACAGAACCACTTTTTATGAAGAAAGTAAAAGAAGTTTACAGCAGGATCGCCATTGGCTTCTATTCTGAGCCATATCTGATAACGTCTCTAGCCACTGTGTTGCACCATCTCTCAGACCCCAACCAGGGAGTCGTGAAGGACCAACACAAGCCAGTCCTTTGCAGCTTTCTTTCATGCCAAGACACCATGTCATGCACTGACCACCTCTCCGCTTCTTCCAACCAGTCCCAGAGTCGGCAAATAATGCACGACGTGGAATTCTCTGGGACGACATTCGGGAAACATGTCCAAGCCACCGAAGTCGGTGTTTCAAGATGGTAACACCAATTGAATTATCATCTCTGTGCCCGAACACACGATGCCGAACCTCTGCATTACTGACATGGTGTTGCTACTGGACCTCAGCAATCCTTCGGAGACAACGATGATCGAACACAGAGAGTCGTCTAACGTCCTCAACTCGGAGAGGCCAGGTTTCACAAGCATAGAGCAAAACTGCTCTCACCGACGCGTTGTAGATCCGACCTTTTTTTCAACCAGACTAACATCACGAAGGCGCCAAAGATGGCCCAGATTGGCTTAAGCCGCTCTGGCTTTCACTATACGTGCATTGATCTCATCACTCATACCCCCACCAGCACTTATACAGCTACCCAGATACACGAACATCTCGACTACGTCTATCTGCTCACCATCCAGAGTGAGTACAGGATTAGAATGCTGCCAGTCTTGTAGGAGTACTTTGCACTTCGAAGGTGCAAAGCACATACCATACCTACGGACACTGATTGCCAACTGATTAAGTGCGGATTGCATGCCTTGGGCATTATCGCACAGTAAGACAATATCGTCCGCATACTCAAGGTCGAGAAGTCTTTCTCCAGGCAACAGATCCACACCACCATTACTTACACTCATCAGAGCTGTTTCCAGAATGTCATCGATGGCAAAGTTGAGGAGGAATGGTGAGATTGGGCAACCCTGCCTAACCCCACTACTCGAATGGAACAATGGAAAAAGGTGGTTGTATGCCCTCACTCTGCCTGAGGTGTTTGTATATAGGCCTTTTAGGATGTTAATAAACTTTTCAGACACACCCTTCTTCAATAGACAATCCCAGAGAACAGTCCTGTCCAACGAATCGAAGGCAGCCCTGATGTCAAGAAACACTACGATTGTTGGCCTTTGATAAGTATGACGGTGTTCTAACATTTGGCGGAGGGTGAAGATATGATCAATACATCCTCGACCAGAACGAAAACCAGCCTGTTCCTCGCGAGTCAGTCTTTCTCGGGTTCTGAACAACCTACGAAGTGTGACGAAAGTCAATAGCTTGGACGCAATCGGAAGTAGACTTATCCCCCGATAGTTGTTGCAGGAACGACGTGAACCCTTTTTCAAGATAGGGACAACTATCGACTCATTCCGTGACGTTGATACACTCTCTAGTTCCCAAACCTTTGTAAACAACGTCGTCAATTCCTTAGTCAAAAAGTCACCACCATCTTTAAAAAGAGCCGGAGGTAAGTCATCTGGGCCAGGTGATTTGTAGCGCTTCAAGAGTTGGAGTTCCTTGTGGACTTCCTCCTCGTTTGGTGGATCAGTCGTCACCGGCCATGGAGGGCAGGACAGTCTGACCGATGTTGCCGGAGCAGCAGGCCAGTTGAACTGCTCTTCGAAAAATTCTTCCCACCGTCCAAGACGTCGATGGATGTTAGTGATTGGCATCCCATCATCCTCGCAGATTGTTTCACTCACACCAGACTTCTTGCTGCCAGTGGCTAGGATGAGCTGGAAGAGCTTCCGGTAGTTACCAGATGCAGCTGCTGCTTACAGCTCATTAGCACGCTCCGACCACCAGGCTTCTCGGTCCTTACGCTAGCTTTGCCCAATTTCCTTACATAACATCCTTCGTTTATGGTCAAACTCACGGTCACCCGGAGTAGACCGACGGGCTTCAATGAGTTGTAAGGAACCTGGAGAAACCCAGTGCTTATAAGCGGGACGTTTCGCGAACCCACAACTGACTGTACCCGCCATTTTCATGGCGTCATGCAATCGCAACCAATGCTCATTCGGTGGAGTGGTAGCTAGCCTAGAGGCTAGCTCGGTTCGATACTTACTAGCAACAGAAGTTGCAACCAGCTTGCTAATATCAATCCGTTGATGGCGGTCACTTCGTTGTCCACTGAAAAGTAAGGCAAGATTGGCGCAGACTAAGGCATGGTCAGAGTCCAGATAGGTACTCCAAAAGGAGTGGCAATCTTGTACACAACCACGCCAGCGGTAGCTGATCGCGATGTGATCAACCTGAGTCCACGCTTGAGATGCAGAGGGAGGACGCCAGGTGGCACATCGGCGATGACTGAGCCGAAAGTTAGTGCTAGCCAGAAACAGGTTGTGGTCTGTGCAAAGTTGCAGTAGACGGTCCCCGTTATCTGATCTGCGACCAAAGAGTCCCCATCGGCCACCTTAACGACTCTCTTCTGTGCCTAGACGCCCGACCTGAGCATTCAACTCTCCGGCTAGTACTACAATATCTGTCGAACGCACTTTCTGGAGAAGAACAGATAACTGGTGGTAAAACTCATCCTTGATTGCATCCGGGCTGCAATCTGTCGGGGCATAGGCGGAGATGACGAAAAGACATCGTTTCTCACGCCGATTTCTTCTCACTTTGATGGAACTTTCTAATCTAACAGCACATAACCGACTGTTAATGGGGATCCAATCGACTAGTGTTGCCTCAGCCCTAGCGCTTAGTGCGACACCAACGCCTGCAAGACCAGACGAAGATGCCACAGGGTCCCCGGATAAGCGCAAGTAAAACAAGCTTTTTGAAGTGACAGATGTAGAGCGAATTTGTAGTACTTCGCCAGAGTCTTGAATACGGGTCTCGGATAGACAACAAACATCAATATTAAGACTTTCCAAAGACATAGCGAGCCCTATCTGTTGACCAACCTGCATAAGTGTGCGAACGTTGAAGGCAGCCAGTTTGAATGGCGCACGTGGTTTCAGAAAAACTGCTTCAGTACTCATATTCGATGGTAAAATACAATTTTCAACCTGACAGTGACTTGAGAACGTTTAGATACAGTCTAATTTCCACCAAAGACGAGCCGCTGTATAAGTATAAAAGAGGGTGAATAATGTGGAAAATAATGATAATAATAATAATGACAATAACAGCAATAACAATAGTATTATTAATGACAATAATAGTAATGATAATTATTTGAATCGACTGATTGTTTTTCGGAGCGAGAAAAGTGGTTGCCATAGACATAGAGTTCATCGTTTGTGTGTGGGCTGTGATACTGCCCGGGTGCCCAAACCGAAGCAGGTGGTTATCTTAGGGGGCCACTCCCCGAGCCTTTGATCTAAAGGTCTAACCCACAAGGCAGTGGAGCATCGTAAGGAGATGCAATCCCATGGTAGCCGGTGACCAAAGATTGGTTCATACGCCATTTGTTCCCGCAGGGTACTGGAGCCCATGTGCGCCATTGGTTTGTGATCCGGTTAAAGCGCCGGACATTCGCTTTTCGTCCTCTCATTTTCGTAAACAACACCCCCGCCACGAGAAGGCAATGAGTAGGACTTCCCTGGCAGAGGCTGTATACGCGCGGCCGTGTGAGAGTATTTCGAGAGGGAGAGCGGACTCACCCCACTCTCGGCCGTACCAGGGTATGAATTAACGATTAAAGTTAAGTAATTCTAGAAAACGTCTAGGTTCACTGTCACTGAAATTGTTTCTCCTCAATAAATAACTGTTACAGGCTACAACTAGTGATTAGGATACAACAAAAGTATTCAGTGTGTAACAATGATGTACTGTAAAATTACAAAATCCGATTCCAACTGACCATATAGATTGTATGAATTGTCCTCAAACAGCAAATATTTAACACAGAGCTGAGAAATATCAATTCCAAGAAAGAAACGATAACATGAAATATGTGTGATTTGGTTATAGGATGTTACGAGGTTTGCCTACGGAAATATGTCCATAGATTTCAAGGTAACAGTGACATTATGAATGTGAAGTAAGAATTAACAGTCCTGTGGGAATTTAGCGTTATATATGCCGCGACCTTAGATGGGTTCAAACTACAGTTTTATTTTTATAGAGGTGATATGTAGAGGGGGAGCTGTTAGAGTAATTGAATGCTTGAGTATCCCAAACTCAGCATATGATGAGCTTCACTTTAGGTAATTTTAGTTCGACGTTTACTGTTGATGGTTACATACAGCAGTTTCAGCATGGTGTGTTGAATATGGAATGTAAGTGGACATCAACTGCATCTTAACGTTGATCTGGACACATACCTCAAACATCTATCAACTTTCATAACTGCAAGGTTTGCTTGGGTGCCATTTAAAGATATATGCGACTTATTAGGAAAGTCAACTGAAACGTAGCAGCGAATATCAAGAGACATTGAAATATTGCGTTAAGACAATACAAAGAGAAAAAGACTAATGTCCCATTGTTTATCGACATTTCTGTTGCAACATAAGCATTAGGTGTGTTTTGTTTAAGTGGACCACAATGTAGAATATATTCAAAGGTAACATTTATTTAGTATCATGAAATGTCGGGGGAAAACGAAGCGTATTAGTAAAAAGTAAGTTTGCTAGAACTTCGTTCCTATAAACTAAAGTGAGCACAGTGTGTACCCGAAAGTTTCTTTCTTTGGTCTGGTAATGAATTTTAAACCGTAAATCTCTTATTTCACTATTTAGTTCCGATATGCTAGTAAGACAGATATATGTGCACTAGTAGTGGGATGTATTTGTGCTGTTGCAGTTGGTGCCGCATTCCCACTTAACATATTTATCTTCAAAGGGGTTGTAAACGAATTTACAGGGGGGAATGTTGTTATTGCGGAAAACGTATACGACTCAGTGAAATGGTTTGCTGTTTTGGGAGCTGCAATGTTTCTCGTTTCATTTATCCAGGACTTTTGCATGAATATTTCAGCAAGCAGGCAGATTAACCGGATCCGTCTGCTGTATTTCAAAGTATGTCACTTTACCTTCTATTTAGTTAATTTATATGTTATCACTTCTCTAATCTTTGGTTTTCAAACAAATTTACACATTGATAAAAATGTACAGTTTTTGATGTCAGTCAGTCATAGTCTTTTAGGCTTAATTGTTAGGACTAGGAAAAAAAGAAATTTGCTGCATTTTTAGGACAGAGATAGCTGACATGTATGACAGAATGGTAATAGTAAATTATATTATGATTTTAAGGGGATTTCATTGCATGTTGTAATCAGAAGTCATATGTAGGAGAAGAGTTTCAGGGAGTGGCTAAGGGAGTTATAATTTTACTTGGGGGCCTAGATATATTACTATTGGCCGCAAATTTGGCGTTACTGAAAAGAAGTGATGCATTGAGCTAAGTGTATATAATAAAATCAAATTACTGTATGAATAGAAGATGGATCGTAATGTCAAGTGGTTTAGACAAACAGGCCAAAAGGCGAAAAATTTTGATACAGAAGCGAGTAAAGTTGGTAGATTCTCTAGAAGAAATTTAATGAACTTCAGTTGGTTGATACCTACAGCTCTAGTGAATTTCACGCAGTTTGAGCTTGATTTTTGTTGACCACCACTAATGGTCTCAAAGTACTCTGTTTCAAAAACATTCTTGGTTATCACACTGTTGAAAGTCTTTTCTTACCGTGACGCAGGTTAACCTTTTATTTATGTGCTGTTTCGTATGATTCTTAGAAGCATTCGTACACGGTTTTTTAGGTGATAACGAAAATACATGCCTATTTTGTTTGTGAGGTTAAACATGTTGTATTATACAAAGCGGTGAACTAGACTGTATTCTAACTTACTGATAGTGCAGTGTTCTATGAAATGCAAATTTTAAGTGAATTCGATAAAAGAAACGATGCACATTATGGGTAATTGTAATAACAATTCTTTATTTGTGTCAAAAAACTAAGTTTTTGAATTGATTTTTATATAAGCCACAATTTTAAACTTATGAAGGGCTTTTAGCTATTAAAATCATTTTGTCTATGTTTTCATTGACATTAAACATGCGATGTCAATGAAAAAGAGATAAACATAAATACCGAACTACAGTTTGTTGTAGTAAACGAAAGACTACTAAAATACAGATACAAGTAAGTTGTTACTTGTTTTTTCGGTAAATATTTGTTTGTTTACACTATAAATTTCATAATAATGGTTAAAATTCCATGGAACGTAATTGATTATAAACATATCTCTTGAATCACTCTATTGACACCTTAGTTTACGTCTAATATGCCCATCAAAATATCCTAGCAATTTTGTTTGTCAGAGTATTGTTTTGGAAAAGTAACATTCATACAAGCTAATGCAAAGCAACCATTTGAACAAATGAGGTTTCTGGATCCACACACTACCAAATAACAGGTTTTGGGTCGCAATATAAGATCACATTGTGTAGCGCAACGCTCTCCAATGAGTCATTCTGTGACAGGCAGTTAATTGTTTACGTTGCAAGGTACTTATTAGGCTGCCTATCTGCAAATCCATATCTGTGTCGTTTATGTGTTAAAATGAATTTTTCATCTTATTGAAAAATTATACTAGGTATTGTAATCTAAATAAGCTTTACACACCAGCACACAGTATCACGGTTTATGCACAAAGTAATTTTACTCCATGTACGACTGCAATATATGATAGAAGCATTGATAGGTTAAAGATATAGGTAACAATGACGAATGTGATCACATAATGCTCAAATGCTGCTGTTTAACCTGTATGTTACGAAAAATGTATCAAGTTTAATGACAGATAACCCTAAGGTCACAAAAAATTCGGCATTGTGACTTCGTCAATTTTTCAAGAGTTGAACAAGTGTATGGTAATAAACTGTCTCACTGAAATCATTAGAGTAGCGATTGAAATATATAAAAGGCAATTGATATTTTCAACAGATTCATTAAAGTTAAATTGAACTGCGTGTATGACGAAATTCTTTAAGATTACAACACAGTGTACCGTTTTACAAAAACATACCATTTCAAAATACCATAATATGGCAGTTTATAAAACATTCCGTATACTAAATATCTCAGAGCTCTCTCGTGCAAGAAATCTCTTTAATTCAAAGGATCTTGTCCAATTTCATGTGTTTTGACAGATTTGCTTATATAAAATCATATAATTGAAATCCCTATAAGTGACTACTTGTTGTTAATAAGTTATAAATGGAAGTCTCTGAATATTTTGAAAACGGTCTCCACTGCTGAGCTTATATGACACAAGCAGGGGTATTTGCATTAAATACAAAATTGGGAACTGCACAATCTACTATACAGTGTTATGAGTACATTACAGGAACATTTTTCGAGTTGAAATTCACTGAGTTCATTTTTCAAAGTTTACAGATCGAATTCAGACGTATTTTGTTTTTATTGGTCTGACTGAGGAGTCATCCCACCGAATATAGGTATTCAGTTTGCAAAAGAACTTCCTGATCTGTATGAGCTGAAATATTGGGCGCAGATCTCAGTTTGCCTAGATTCAAGACCTAAAACGGAGTTTACCTTAAAATGGTCAGTGGGATTCGGCTTAATGTGTTCGTTTCAAATGTATGTAACCAACAGAACATAGAACACTTAGAAATACTATATGACCATCTGCTTAGTCGTACACCTTGATTAAATATCGGCGAATAAATTTGAATTTCATTTGACCCAAACCTAGTATAACTCAAACATACTCTACCACTGACTTGGATTTACAAGCTAATGAAGTTAAGTTTATTTTAAAATCATGTTTTCATTTAGAGTATTTTACGACAAGATATTCCATGGTATGATGAACAGTCATCTGGGTCACTAATCAGCAAACTTTCTCAGAATATCGAGCTCATTGAACGTGGTATTGGAACAACACTCGGGGGTTTTATAAAACACATATCAGGATTCATAGTAGGCATCATAATAAGTTTTTCAGTGGGATGGAAACTTACACTAGTAGCTTGTTGCATGTTACCTGTTATTGCTGCAGTTTTTGGATGTTTCGGTTTCATTATGAAATATTTCACTGTTAAGGAAATAGCTGCATATGCACGAGCAGGTTCTATCGCTGGCGAAGTTTTAGAAGCTGTTCGTACTGTTGTGGCATTTGGTGGCGAGCAGAAGGAGCTAGCAAGATATAGTGAGCAGCTTGTATTTGCCGAAAAGGTCGGGCTCAAAAAGTCGACGGCAACTGGTGGAGGTAAGATTCTGTGAATGGATATACCTTTCTCGTAAATAGTCAAAAAATTATCTTTATTTTAGGAGAAATATCATGGATACCCAAATTAGTCTTACGAATATAACTGCTTCTGAAATCTCATTAAACTTTCAAATTGTAAAGAAGATTTATAGCTAGTGGAAATTCAGGAGACTATTTCGATGATTTTAGTTTTTGTGATTTCCTTAAAAATTCATTTATCCTTTGGCGGATACGGATGCATCCCATAGACTACCTCGACACACGAGTTGGTTAGTTTAGGAGTAGTTTAGAAAAAAGCTCGGAGCCGGAAAACCAGTACTTGGCGTCACTCAGTGAATTCACTGACAGTTGGATTAAGACACGTAGATAGGTGCAGACCACATGATTGAGGTCCTCTTGATTGTCGTAATCAATCGTTGAAGCCTTTGGGTAGATCTGTTTGAGATTATTCGCTATGTCACAAGCGTATGAACGTTTTGTCTTACCTTAAACCTTAAGTTTCTAACTCCCTCAAAATTTTTCTATTATTTCACGGAATTATACATTTTCTAAACTATAGATTGTATACCTAACCTTTTATATAATCATTGATACCATTTCCACATTTACTACTTTGAGATCAACCCCGAAAACTTTAACTCGCTAAGTTAATGAGGTATAGCAACTTGGATCGATGTACCAATGTGACAAATAATATTTTACGCTTGACTAGCTGACTGAACTATTACACATGTCACAGATAACTTGAATAGGAAGTACTTACTGCGTCTAGATAATTCATTTTGAATACTATAGATATGGAATTTGTCGCAACGTTCATGACTGCTTTACAGGTCTTATTAAAAAAATTATTGGTAGCATATAAAATGATTATTGCTAATCCGAACCTCATCAAGAAGTTTAGTCTAATATATTTATTAGACTAAACCTCCGCATGTGATTGCTCAAATGTTACCTTAACTGATGAATCTGTTTGTCCTTAAGGTGTGCAAATAAAAGGTGATGTCACTGTTTTTAAATGTTATCTAAATTTTCATTCCGAATCTAAGATTCAATTAAGATTTTTCGTCGGGTCTATAGATACTAGCTAATCAGAGACAGCTTATTCGATATTTGTATTGTTTTCCCGAAACCAGTTGGTTACATAGTATTTTTCTGAGTACACAGTTATCTGGTGTGCATAAGTCAGATCATTAAATAGGTTCCATCTGCTCGTAAAATTTACTTCTAGGTAAATCATTTGAATACACTCAGTATTTAACAATCATCTAGATTTTAGTGGCCCGATGTCTGACCCCAGTTGGATCATATGAATGACTGTCATCGATACATAAATGCTGCCAATCCTCGTATATTATTATTGATTTAAATCGCGTTAGTAATGAAATGAACAATTTATTCAAACACTAGGATGAAATTTAAATACGCATATTTCGATAACAATCATTTTACGATCTAATTGGCATCAAAATAAAAGACACCACGAAAAGGTTTACACATCTTGGTCAATCGTTCTCAGAAATTCGTAATTTTAATGAATTAGGCAATGAGTATATACAAGCTCTAAAGTTCAGTCAGTAAACTAATAATTAAAACTTGTGATTTTCTCTTTTTTTAGTAACTGGTGCCATAGGATTAGCCATCTTTTGTTCCTCTGCACTGATATTTTGGTATGGTATTAAATTAATGATTGACGAAAACTATAATGCCGGATCTGTAATACTGGTATGTGACAATTTTTCCAAAGCCAATGGTTATCATTATATTCTCCAAGGTAATTCATTTTAACAATAATAAGGTAAAACTTCTAAACTTAAAACCTACGTCATCCTGATTGTTTGATTCCCACGTTAAATAATAATGTGAGTAACTCAGGACATAACATATGAGTAATGCACATATGGATTGTCACACTGGTATCCACCTGACCCAACTATGAAAAACGATTTGAAACACATTTACAATTCCAAAATGCAGTCAAATGTTTTTAAAATTAAAACTGAAACTTCTTGTTAAACATTAGACACCTTTGCGTGTGTTATTTGTGGAATTGTTCGAAAAGGTATTTTTTAGAAATTAAACAGTTTGACAATAAATAAATGAACGGTATAGATGTTGACGGCAGTTAGCTACACGTTAATATAAGTAAGGCTCTTAAATTCCCAAATAAAAAAGTTATATTACATTATTTTATTTTATTAGGCAGATTGGAATTCCCCCAATAGTAAATGGTTCATACAGTTTTTCCCATTCAAAAATCTGAATAAAACAAGAAAAATAATCGTAACAGAATAATATGAATTCATCTCTATCCTCATATTTGACCACATACCACAAAGACTGAGACTAAAAGAAAGGGATGTTTTTATTAGCACAATTTTTCGCTATTTATCTGACGGTGAATGATGTCTCAAAGCTTTCAAAATAGTCAATCACTAAAAAAAATACAATTTGTTTCATTTTGCTTTAGTAGTTGATATAAAAGTATTTAAATCAAAACTATACATTCAAAAAAAACCAGTTATCAATCTTGCTTTTCTTTGATCACCACAGTTACAAGTGCTTGATACAAAAAATGTTTTTCATAACACTGAGTATAATTTCTCATGTATTGTTTCTTATCTGATCTTTATTTAGTGGATTGATTCTACTATTTCTTATTTATGGTGCTATGTAAACTGTGACAATGATCTTTCAATTCTAAAAATTCTGTTTGTTTGCTCTTTTCAGTTTAATTTTCAAAACAATTTACATATTTAACTCGTAAATAAATAACCGTTGGAATAGTGTCTGTTTCTTTCACAATTATTATCATTGATTAATCTACATCTATAAATCTGATGAAAACTTTTCAATTATAAAATATGTATATCGTTTGTCGGTTTTTATAGAATGACTAATGCCATTGTTTTCAAGTGATAAGCAGCTGAAGAGAATTTACTGAATAAATATATTTATTTTAATAGTTGAATTCATGAGTCAATTGAAGCTAGAACATCATGGAAAACTTGAACGCACTGGGCGGCCGTTTTATCCTAGTGTAAGACGCCTCAGCAGTGTGCATCCACGATCCCGCCTTGCGAAATTCGAACCCAGGACCTATCAGTCTCCCGTGCGATCGCTTAACCACTAGACCACTGAGCCGGCATCCAACGGTGTTAATGTCTAACTTCAAACAATCCACGAAGTTGCGCCACCGTCCAGGTTTTTCATGGCGGTCTAGCTTCAATTGACTTATGAATTTAAAATATTAAATTACTATAATATCCACAAAACCCCTCTGTCTGAATAAAATATATTTATGTTCTTCTATTATGCTCATTTTCCTAGCTTTAGTAAAATTTATTAGAGATTTTTCCACCTATACCAGCATGCTTTTTTGGGCTCAAATATGATGCTCTTAAACTTCCTTTCTGTCTATCATTTCCCCATTGTTCCCAATTATCTTTCATAACCAGTAAGTAGCCGTTATCTTAACTTGTAATTATTCTGTTCGTAATAGGTATCAAGTGGACAACTATCTTCACCATAATATATTTTATTATACGTTAGATTTATCTGTATAGTATGATAAATCTAAATTCAATGACTCGAATTGGTCAAAAGTAAACAATGAGTGTTTAAAATGGAAGTACCTCATTGAAACAGCTAACCATATTTCTATACAAATGATATTATTACTTGATCTAATTTAGATTAGAAGAAGAATATTCTAACAATAGCATGGATTGCTCTATTCCTTCTTTAGTTGATTAGATTCGTAGCCGATATTAGAAAGAATACAAGGCACATCATATAATGAAAATTGTTTGATGGTGGGTTTCAGCACACACTTTAGTGTGAGTTCAATTGGTGAAAGCTTTTGGAAACAATTTATGAATGAAATAGAAATACATATTTAAAACGACATTTCGAATGTTTATTGTATGTACATTTTCATTACTGATGAAATAGTGATTTCAAAGAAGACCATTATTAGTTGTCACTTTTTAATTATTTTGCTTTTCCAGGTATTCATAAATGTTCTCTTGGGAAGTATTTTTCTGGGCAACGCTCTACCAAGTTTTCAATATTTCATGAACGCACAGGCATCAGCCTCTGAAATTTATGGTACTATTGAGCGTGTGAGTTTGTTTTACAACCTTTCTTACAAAGCTGTTATGATCAAACCACTCAAAATTTCAAGGCCAAATTAATAACTAAAAAATAGGTTCTGAGATAAAGATCATCATGTTGAACATTTGCTAGAAAAAATCTAGCGTGCACATTAATCAGTTATGTCCCCTAGCCTTTATGAATCAAGATTATAATTTTTACTATCCTAACTATAGCTGTTACCCTGACGTAATAATTGGGCTTGACTATCGTGATGACTCGACCGGGATATACTGGCTGGAGCACATCTTATTTTAGGTCCTCTCTTGCCAGGAAGGTTAGCTGAAGAACAATAGAAACTAAAAGTTTCAAATTAAAGACCGAGAACGAAGTTGTACTGCTGACTGTAGAAGGATGTGAGTGCGGTAAGGTATTTCCCTCAGACAACCAGCACCTGTAGCCATTCTTTCTTCGCACAAAAAGAGGAAAAGGTCAGGGAAGTTCGACCCTAAAAATTTCACACCTCGCCTATCTCCACGGGTTCCTGTCTCCGATGGAAAGGGCCTTCAATGTACGGAGCAAGTACATTGAAAGCTTTCCAATAAAAGACCATGCGTGATCAACCTCAATCAGTTGTCTCTTGGACTCTGGGTTCACGTTCCCAGACAACTAAAACCACTGCTAACCCTATTTTCGTTTCAGGTCCCTGAGGAGGGAATACTTTTCATGGAGTGGGCAGTTGAATTTGACACTTGCTCTCATTACCACTGACATCACTCGAGAGGATCGTGTTCACGATCAACTTGCTTCCTCATTTTCTAATAATTCTCAAATCTTCGCAACTAGCCCCACCCCCGTATATTTTTATCGCTAAGCGTCAATAATGCTAGTGATTTCAGTTCATCGAATGTTATTCCTGGTTTCTTAAAACCACACACTAAACTACATGTTTCTGTTCTCAATTTTGAACCTTGTGTCATATAGGTCGACAAGCTCCCTTATCTTGAAAGGACTCTAAGATTTCGCTTTCTCGATCCAAGTATGGTCATTCATTTGATCTCACTTTGTCAATATAAAGAACCAGCGCGACTTACACTCTGTGTATCTAGGACCCTCCTGCCACTTCCAGCGACCCCACTAGTGTTGATATAACACTAAACTCAAGGGCGGAAGAGACTCTTCTGGACTGTATTTTAGTAGATAGTCCCATGCATACCGTACACACCGTCACCTCTTCGTTGTACATGCATACATTCAATCATCTGATTGATATCCACCCCAAAGTAGCTTGAAATGCCATCCAAACAGCTATGGAAACAGCAGTGACATCTGTCAGTAACTTAAACCAAAAGGTGATGAGAAATCAGTGGATTTCAGCAGCGTATACTGAACTGATAGATGTCCCTAAATTCATTCCATGTAGTTCAAAACACAATGAGAAGTGGAATTAGCTTAAACACAAGTTAATAAAAAGCCTATGCAGTGATTTTGAACAGTGATGAGCAGCGAAAACAAAAGTGAGAGAAATATTAGGGGCTGAAGGTAACAGTAGAAAACTGTTTAGACCTATCAAGAAAACAAGTTTTAGGAATCCTGCTGCCATTGTGATTTTTTTCAAAAAAGATAGGACTATAATTCCTTGTCAGTCCGCGAGACTGTATCGACGAGCAGAGCAATTAAGGGGAAAGTTCAACTGACCTTCCGCCACATATCAGTTACCTACTATATTCAAACAACCTGAATGGCAAATTGACATAAATCATCTAACTCTTAGTGAAGTTGACAAGAATGAACGGAATCTAAGGGGAGGGAGAGAAAGAGATCTAGATGGACTCATTCCGCGAATCTCTAAGGATAGCGGTACAGTTTTAGCAGTTACATCAACCTAGATCGTAGATAGAATTTGAAAACTGGATGCGATCTCATCTGGGTGGTCTCGATCGCTAGTCGTCCTCATTTACGATGAAATAAAACGATCATCTTGTGACAATCGAAGAGGAATCAGTTTGATTAGTATGCTGTCTAAAATATTAGCTTCAATAATACTCAGAACTTCAACTGGAGCTCGTGAAAAGCAAACCTAAGACTGATAAGATAGTAAATCGATCTCAACTGAGGTGGTTGAGACATGGGTTACGTATGCATATTCACCTCCTACCTCGACCAGTGATGTGTGATGTAAGAGTAAGTTAGAAGAAAACTAGGAGCAGCTAAACAAAGACGTGACATCAGTCTGTATTGTCATTGGGGATAGGACTGAAGTATGTAGGTAGGTGTAGGCTATCTGCTTGGGGTCCGCATAATTATCGAGACCAATGATTAGAGACTTTGGGGGACATGGCTCAAAATTGCTTCTAGAAGTGCAGGTTTATTTAACCCTGATCTTCCTCTTGATTTTTAGTCCCTAAATTCCTCATAGTCTTATTTCACTAATTTATGTTTTCTTGAATCGTACCTTGAACATCTAATCTTTTCTATAACTACTAATACTGTTACTACTTCTACTATTCAGGGATTTACCCTGACAATTCCAACTCACTATACCAATGGGATACAGCAACTTGAACCAATGTACACATGTGCCAGGTTTTAATATGCTGTTAAAGACAATGAATTTGGATCGACAAATTCTGTCAAAAATCCACCCAATTTTTTGGGGGAATTTCGTTTCTTTTTTTGACTCAACGTACAATATGTAAAAATTTCGGTGATACTACAGTAAATTTATTTTCAGGATTCTGATTGAAATGGAGTTAGTAGTTTCGAACAGTTCAAATTTTTTAATCGATTTGTAGGGAATTTTATCAGTTTTTCCGAAGAAATCACAACTTATTAAGGAGCAGTAAATAATCACACAGTCATAACTTGAATATTGTAAATATTTTAGAATGAAAAACTTGTTGCAAATGTTTAAATTCCACTGATTGTGTATAACTAACTAGTAATAAAGTCTATCTTCCTGAACAGGCTTTATGAAACTCAGGTTCTAAAAAATTGTGTCATGAAATGTGGAAAGGAGGATAGATTTTTCTCTGAACCTTGTTGAAACAGCAAGTCAACTCATTACTCATATATTGCTACTACTACCTCATGTATGAATTAAAATTTGAGATTTGACTTGAAGCGTTTATTACATAATTTACTGCTGGAAATCAAATAACTGAACTTCGGATTGAATTTATTGTTACTTGTTAAAAAACCAATAACTACTTTATAGCTATTGTTCTTATTTTAGATCCCTCAAATTGATAAAGACCGACATGGAAATCTCGTTCCAAACTTTTCTGGAAATGTTGAGTTCAAAAATGTTTCTTTCGTATATCCAAGCAGACCAGATATTACTGTAAGTAAATCAGAATTCTTCCTATTATCCATCATTACCATAGTTCACAGAATCATTGTGAAGTAAATTCTCGCAAAACGAGAAAGCCGTTAAAAATTTAATTTTCCGCATGCTATGACAATTTTTAGTCTCAGGAAATAGATTCAAACATAAATTCACTAATGGGCTTCTCTATAAGATTTTCACCTAAATCACAATTACATTAAGTGTGTACATCATCTGATCGCCTGATTTGTCCGCTAAATTGTTATGCAGTTAAATTTACACGGAGATCTATTTGTAGATGCTATCGTTCACAGAGAAATTTCGGGTTTTTGTATTATTGATAGATTCAATTCTGGTTAGTGACGAACCCATATAGAATTGTAGAGAGCAAAACATTAATCTCGTAACGTTATGTGTTTAAAATAAAGTTGAACATTTGATTTACTACTATATTTCCTATATTGATACCTTTTTTTCTACTTTGTAGATTTTACAGGATTTTAGTCTGACGATCAAAAGTGGACAAACTATAGCTTTGGTTGGACCCAGTGGTTCAGGAAAAAGCACCATTATTCACATGCTGCAAAGATTTTATGATCCTGTGAGCGGCGAGGTATGTTTTTCCCGAGGTGTTCTGTACAGATCAACCTTGTGTCAGTGGATGTGTTTGAATTCTTACAGAAAGTATGGCTGAGTTATATCTATGTTAGAATAAGCCAAATGACCTCTTAAATCTCTGTGTTGTTTAGTAATGTTGATGCAACGGGACGATAAGTTGTAGCGATAAGAATCAGATGAATTTTAAGTGATAACTATTCATAATCTCCTCAAATGTAACCGAAGGCTAATTCAGTAAAAATTTTATGTAAGTTTCCATCAATGGTTAAGAGCTAACTGGTAGTCTTGTCATTTGTTCACTTTGTTCAACTTTCAAATGCTAATATACACTTTCATACTTCTATAGTTTTCATAATTTAATTTCATATTTGCCATTTAAGGTACTAATTGAAGACGAGAATATCAAGAATTTGGACTTGAAAGCTTATCGTAATCAGATAGGTTGTGTACAACAAGAACCGATACTTTTCGAAGGAACTATCAGTGATAACATAAGGTTAGGAAAACTTGATGCAACTCAAGATGAGATAGAAGAAGCTGCGAAGCTTGCTAATGCTCACGATTTTATTCAACAACTTCCGGATGTAAGTCATCTACCCATTGTTGAAAGTAAAGTTGTTTGTTATAAGCAACGTTTTCTATTTAACTAAAAGTCGAAATGTTATATTATATTGTGAATCCAGACATACGACACTTTTGTTGGTGAACGAGGTGGCGGAATGTCAGGTGGTCAGAAGCAACGTATAGCGATTGCCCGAGCTTTGATTAGAAAACCAAAGTTACTCCTACTGGACGAAGCGACGTCAGCTCTTGACACAAAATCAGAACGTGTAGTTCAAGTGGCATTGGACAAAGCGAGTAAGGGGAGAACAGTTGTGGTTGTTGCCCATCGTCTTACAACAGTTCGTAACGCAGATTTAATAATCGTTCTTGACAAGGGAGTAGTTCGAGAGTCTGGAACACATGAAGAACTTGTGGCTCAAAACGGTCTTTATGCAGCAATGCTTAGTAATCAGGTATTTTGACCTTTAGAATATTAATTTACATAAACTTTTGATATTTTTAATATCGGTTTATTATGCAGCCTCCTAAATGACTGTTTTATATTCCATTATAAACTTATAAGTTATTGTCTGAAATGTATTCTCAAGAAAATGAGTGATGAGTTGTTGGTGCTTCACATAATTTTAACTGGTTGATTTCTTTACAAAAGACAATTTGGTAATTTTAATAGCTGAATTCTTGATCTGATCTAAACTGGACTACCATTGAAAACCTGGAAGCACTGGAGCGCCATCTCGTCCTAGTTAAGGACTCCTCAACAGTGAACATCCATGATCCCGCACTCACGACTCAAACCCAATACCTCTGGTCTAAAATTAGACCAATATGTTTATATATAAAATTTTCATTAGCTGTCAAAATGATATCACAGAACTTTTAGTCAACAAAATTAGAGAGCAAATTATGTTCATTTACACCAATGTTTCTTCTGGTAGCCTTATGGTAATTTACAGATCATAAAAACATTTAGGCAATAATGAACCATAACTGTAGCTTTCTACAGTGGATTGGATTCCTGAACTTCACTTACTAATTAAGTTTACAGAGTGCTTTTCAAGTCTTGAATTAATTTTATATTATTTTATTAATTTTACATTTCACTTACACTGTTCTGGTTGAAGCATTCATGTTGTGTTAATAAGACCTTTTTCACTGTCATTTAGGGAATAAGTGAGAAAAGTGCAAATGAAGATGCTGAGTTATCTGATGAAGAATTGGTTGGAAATTTAGACAATGAGACACAGACTTCGAAGAAATTGGACGGTGTGTGGACAATTGGGGATGATCAAGAAGTGAGCAGATTTATAATGTTTAAACCTTTGTAATGTCAATTCTGATGTAGTGGAAATGGCTTGCGCAAACTTAAAACTTTAGTCTAGAGCATTCTCCTACTTATTGTTTAATTTGACTAATTGATGGCTAGAATTGATTTTATTTAAATGCATTTCATTTCGTGTACTCTAATTTTTTTTCACATACGCACTGTTTTGTATAAATAAATAAAATATTTTGCAATGTAATTAGGTGTGTACGATGTGTGAAATCATTTAGTTCACTAGTGTAAAAGTAATTATAAATACTTTACATATTCCTACTGTTCCCGCCTTCCGGGTGATAAATAGACAGAATAATATCAGGAATCTATGATAAACAGAGGCATCCTCCATTCATCATCTCGACCCCAATTTCTACGTACTAAAGGAACTTGTTGTTTATCTGGGACTGATATGGTAATTGTTTTGCTGAAAACCTACCCTTCACTGTTTTTCCTCATTATTAACGTACTTGAGATGTGTTTTGTTTGTTTGACCTCACCTCTATTTATTCACAATAACAATATCATGTTTTCATTCCAAAGTTATAGTCATTACATATAAAGTCTTATCATTCGGACATTATTCAATACAATCTTTGTCGTTTTATCTCCTCAGTTATCCGTTTCTTTTCATACCCTCTTCAACTACTGCATTCATTATTAGGTTTATTATCATTATTACTTCGATAATGACTATCACTTTCATCATTCTGTCCATCATAAAAATAATAATTCTCACATGTTTCTTTTACTCGACTACTGTATAATCTCTCGTTTAATCCATTTAACTAATAAATCGAACTTATATGAATGTGGAAGGCATTTATAATTGTTACTCACTTCGGAATTAAATGACTTTACCACACAAAAAATTACATTGTAAAATATTTTATTTATTTACAAATCAGTGCGAACGTGGAAGAATGAGAGCTCACAAAGTGAAGTGAATTCACTGCATCCCGAAGTGCTTGACGTTCTTGCTTTGCAAAGTTTATCAGGGGAATTAACTGCGTAAAATGATTTAAATACCTATTGAGTTACGAAGGATTCTAAGACAGTTATTTAGATAAATCTATGTGTGTTCACACATGTAATCTTAGCACATGAAACACGGACTTAAATACTCTATTTCATTATCAGTGAAAAACGTAAGCTGATTTATTTTCCTGTGATTTAACAGGAAGAGAATAGTTACGTATTACGTTTCTATCAAAATAGAAATATGGCAGAACTACTTGACTGATTCTATATTTTAATTATTAGTTTCTATGTTTCCTCAAATGGTTTGTCACTAAAAGTCAAACGTTTCGAAATGTGTGTTAACTTTACAGCAGTAGGAAGCACTGTAACTACTTACATACAGCAAAATCTTTTTTAAAAAACTGTCCGTCTTCCTATTGACCTATCTGTGCGACAAATAATTGAGGTATTGAGTATTGGTTTCTGCTAAGTCACTAAGGATGCGACCCAGATTTCATTATGTTAGTGAGTATGACTTACCTTAAAGATTTTGATAACAGAACTTTATTTTTGTCCGCAAAGGAATAATCTCTAACCATTTGTCAATTTGTGACAACTGCCTCAAAAAGTCCAATTCTTCAATGTTAATTTAAATCCTAGTCAAGATATCAGCTGTCTGTACAGCTAATCATGAAGAGAATGTTAAGGGATTTCGTCACCATTGTATTGTTTTCAATTTTGTGATAGTTCCTCAGCAGTATTTGGTCACTAAAAAAGCTTTGACACTATTCAACTATCTCAATCAAATAAAATCACTCAAATAAAAGTAAATAGTTGAAGAATTGTGAACATGTTCTCTCAGCTGTAAGTTCCAACTAGTGAGTGAATTTCATATTTGGTCAAAAAATTCTGGTAAATCAGCAAGAAAAATTTAGACAAGGATGAATCAATTAAGATATCCAAAATTAAATACATTATTAATGTATATTGAAGTTTCACTATGAGTTATGCTTTTTAAATCACTATAAACGTCATAACATTTATATGTATTTAGAACATATCTGAAAGTACTGGAACGTTGCCCCGTAGAAGTATGTCAATTACTGCAGCATCACAAATCACACGGGCTCAGGTATGTTTAGAATCTCAAACATATATTCCGATGAGTAAAATCTTTCAAAACTTTCATAGATCGCTCCTTGAAAATTTGTTATGCTTACAAAATACCCCTAATCTGTTTCGTATCTTATCACAAATAACCACCATTTAACTCTCAAGTATTAATGATTTGCACTATTTAGGTATATCAAGAGCATATGGATATGTTGGTCAATATAAAGTAAATTATTTCTTTTATGTTAATTTATGTTATGACAAGTAGTGACTTAGTAGTTTAAAATGTGAATAATATACAAATCTGATTTTTTTTCCAATCTTCTATATCATGTAGTTACATTTTGAGTAGAAGTAATTGTATGACTATCTCAGTTAATTATATATGTTTGGTTATATATTTTTCATTGTATGAAGTTGTAAATATGTGTTTACATAGTAATTAATTAATTAATTAATGTTAAATACTATTCAGCTTAATTTTAACAAATCTGATTGTTAATAAATTATACAAATCATGAATTATTCTTACATAATTTTGATTTATTTCCGGGTTGAAATAAAACCTTATCAATAGTTTTTACTTCATTTTACCCACATTCACTGTGAGATCCCAAGTCAAATAATTATATCCACAAACAGAACAGTGACAGGCATAACGTTTTAAATACAAATTTTAATGTGTAAATTAACTTGACGATAAATTTTTTTGTAATAAAATTAATAACTTCCAACCAGTTGTCTCTTTATAACTGACTACAAAACAGTAAAGACAAAAAAAAATGATAAGTCCTTACAGTTCAGCATTCAAAATGACCATAGCATTACAAAATAATTATTTAACCCAATTCATACATTGGTTGAAATAATCAGTTGCTAAAGGGGTATTTAATGATATCTTACAGCAATTTTTCGAAAGATTCATTGACCTTGTTGAAGAAATATCATGTTGAAATATCCCACAGATACTAAGGGTTTTATGTGGTTATAGATTTTTAAAGTCACATCTTAGATGATATTCTATTTTTCGTCTTGCTTCCTATTTATTTTAAAAATCAATCGTAAACTCAGAGTATGCTTTATTTGTCAGTTGATGACAGTTTTGGAGCACTTAACAATCAAACATAACTTACAGCTAATATAATATTAAAAAGAGCACTTTATTTTGCGTTCAAAACCAGATGCATTATTTTCAGTTGAAAGTTACTATCTGTCAGAAGAATTAAATAGAGCTTCAGTTTTTATATTGTGCTCTTTGGTATGCAATAATGTGATTGTAGTTGAATTTCAGTCGATAGCAAGAACGAAATAAGAATCTGCACATCAAGATACTTCTTACTATTCTTCTTATCTTCTTCAGATTACCAAGAATGGTATGAAAAGAATTACGAATAGGTGTTCAGCGAGTTATTAGATAATAGCTTCTGTAGTGCTTTCAATACTTGTAGCTGATTAAATCCTATTGATTACGTTCGAAATTCAGTTGCTAGACATTTCGATAGCCTTTTTTAGATTAGTATGTTAGTATTGTCCATAAATGCTTCAATGATATGCATCAGTTCAAATCGCTTTTAAACTATCATTCTCATAGTTGCAAATACATGCCGCCACTAGACCACAACTGGCTGGACACCTGGTTCCAACACATTTTGCAAGAATCCCCAATCTTGTATATGATCAACCTTCCAAAGCACGAAGATTGCTAGAGTTAACACAATTTCATTCTGACATGCTACTGTCATTTGTTAGCATATAATTCAACTTTTAGAAGAAATCAGAGTATCTGAAATATAAATAAACTGCATTTATCTTTCATATTTTTCAGCGGCTTATCAATCAGTATAATAATGGTTTTCTGGCGAGTACTTACTTACTTACAACTGTCACCCCTCGTGAAGAGCATAGGCCACCGACCAGGATTCTTCAACCAACTCTGTCCTGGGCTCTCCTTTCCAGTTGTTTCCAACTTTTATTCATTCCTTTGATGTTTGTCTCCGATTGCCAGAACTTTGGTCTGCCTCTTTTCCTTTTGTCTTCAGGATACTAAGTTCGGGTTTGACTGGTGGTACAGTTTGAAGATTTCCTTAACGTATGTCTTATTTACCTGCATCGCCTTTTCCTAATTTTCTCTTCAGCTGGAAGATGATTTGTTCTCTGCCAAAGTTGGTTGCTGCTGATGCTATGAGGCCAACGGACATTGAGTATCTTGTGTAGACAGCCGATTATAAATGCCTGTACATCTTTGATGGTTGAAGTAGTTCTTCAAGTTTCAGCACCATACAATAGGGCTCTCTTAACGTTTCTATTGAAAGTTATGGCTTTGATATTAGCTGACAGTTATTTTGAGTTCATGATGTTCTTCAATTTCAGGGATTCTTCCCTTGCTTTGCTCTGCATCAGATCTTCCTTATTTATCAATGATGTTGTCCTGGTATGTAAAACTTTCCACCTCTTCCAGAGCTTCTCCAACAACCGTGATTGGTTTGGTGCTCGCCCTGTTCCATTTTTTGCCTACTGCAGCCGACATTACTGCTACATTGTCTGTCTTCGCCTTCATTTGTTGTCGTGTATGGGATAAAACTTCTAATGACTAATTAGATGTGAATGTTTATATATATTCTGGTTAAATATTTTGTGAAATATTGATATGCCAATCATTAATGACGAGTTTACTGTCTCTTTTATTATTTGTTTCCACAGCTGAAAAAAGTAAAGAAATCTCCTACATTAAGAGTTTTACAACTTAACAAACCTGAATTGCCGTTAATTATCATAGGTTGCTTCTGTTGTCTGGTAAATGGAACTGCTCAGCCAGCATTTGCACTTCTATACACTGAAGTGTATGACGTAAGTTCATAGTATACAGTTTGGTACAGTTATTTGCTTTGAAAAATCGAAATGATGCAATGAAAAGATGGCGTTTATCCAGAACTATATCTTAGTCGATTTATTTTGAATAGTCTGACCACACATTTACTAATTATGACTATTGTAAATAAAAAAGCAAAAGTCAACTAGACAAACTGGAAGACAAGAAAAAATAAAGATAATAAGGAGAATGCAGAATGATAAATTTACATAACAAACTGATTACATGAAAGGATTCTGAATCTTCATATGGCTAAGTTTTCAGTAAACCTTAGAATAAACCCCACAACATTGATTTGATATCAACCCTATGAGCCGTCTGAACTAAATGTTCCGTTGTTAAGGTAGATGTTTATTTATCTTGTGTTCACATAAGACAAATGTAATTCATACGTTCATACACATTCGTATATGACCAGTTATCCTCACATGCGAATCACTACTTCATCTTCCTATGTATTTGTGTTTACATATACACAAACTGGTGGATTTTTGGTGAAGCCTAGACTTTTGCTTCTCAGTAATATACTTTAGTCAAATTAACCAAATTAATGATGCCTTTGGCTTAACCTGTTCGGCAAACAGATAGTATCATCTTCAGCCATAATAACATGCGTATATATATTTCAAATATATCCTCAAGCACATATAAATACGCCTCATCGAATGCGTGTGATAGCCTACTTATTTATTTCTCTTATCATTAAGATGGAAATTGGTTAAACACTTGATGATTCATTCGACCGCACATTTGCTTAGTAAACTAAACATATTAACTACTCTCACTCCCGTGCTTCCTGATCTCTTCATGTGCGGTGTTTGTTTCTGACCTTTTGTGGATTACCTCGATATTCATTCTACCAAACACATTTACGTGAAATAGATGGAATGCGGCTAGTAGTGTAATCCAGCTCATCTTATTTAAGACTCATTGGTTGGGCGTACCTGCATTCCAGAGCTTACTCCGACAGACCTAGACAGCGGGTCTCAAATATGAAGATCCCCGCACGTTCAGTATTCCATTATTAAACATTTCACATCTACTCTACACGGAGGTTGTTGAAACAGTTTACAAAAAATGATTAAGACTTCTTATTCCTTCATACTTTTACTCTAAAACTATAGGGTTCATACAACAGGTTATGTTTCTAAAATTCCATCATATTACATCTAATTATATTGCCAAGAGACTAATATGTAATGAAAAAAACTCAAATTTGATTTACACATACTTACAGGGAATGATAAATTTGAACAGTATTCCATAATTTTCTCTCCATATTTCAGTGTGCTCGATTAAGATAACAGATGTTACGTATCACATGTTCCATTGTATTATTTCAAAAACTTACTTTCGAATCGAATAGCATAAATGGTCTTTGTATTAGTAAATAGTTTATTAATTTACGATTATACTAGTCCTTTTATCCATCAAGCTTATAGATCTTTACCTTTTATTTCTTTTGGTCATTTTATTTTAAAAGAAAAATAATTAAAAGCCGGTCGTGAAGTGAAAACAGTGAATCATCAGAAAAACTCCAACCATAGATATTAGTTTTAACGTAGCTGTAATTTGTACATATTCACTTAAGTCTTCATTTAATAATGAAAACTGAATTTGAAAATCCAAGATATTTGACCATCTGCAGTCTAGGAGTTCACTCTATACTTCTCTATATTATGAAACCTGGTGGTCGATGGACGAAATCTAAGATTATAAGCGTTTGAACTTTCACGTTCTTCGTAAATTACTATCACTAGATGAAGCGATTGAATGTTTACTGCTAAATTTATGTGCTTCTAGATTGGCAGGACCGATTAATTGATGGTAGCATCTCCCTACCACAAATAAAGTGGCAGGACTATATACTGAATGTTTTTATTCTGCATCTACTATGGTGAGCAATTGTGGCTGGAATGAGATTAAGTTGAAAAAGTGTTACGTTTAATATCGATAATTATGATGTGTTAGATTACAATCTTAATGAATGTTAACATAAGTACTGTAAGCGGCTATAGTTATTTTTGATGGAGTCTTCTTGATAATGTAGATATGAGATCTCGAAATCTTTTGCATTAAAGCACGTAATCTTACTTTACAAAATCAATGGTTCTTTATTCTTATGTCAGTCAAAGATTTAATCTTCTTTTAAGAATACCAATCAATAAAATTATTTGAGCATCGGAGATCGAAGAATTACTTAAAATGTGTGGAATAACTAACATTTTTTTTGAGAAACTTATGTTTTTTTTTTACCATCGTGAATTGAATTATTATAACAAAGATGAAGAAATGAGTAATCGAAAAATTCAAGATGTTCAGATTATTTAAATTTATTTACATACAACGTGATTTGATCAATTTTAGAGTAATGTAAGATAAAATGTCAACCGTCAGTGCAGTTGAAGCACAAATTCATGATATAATGATGAAGGCAGAGTTGTGTATCACACATACTTAGCAACTTTAAAGTAAGTCATATAGATTATGAACTGAATAAACGTATTGGTCTCGTGTTTTAAATCTATAATATACTTCTTAGAATTAATTTTTATTTAAAATATCTCAGTTATAAAAAATTAAAAATTTTTTCAGATATTCACTTTGAGATCAAATCCTGACTTAATGTCCAGTCGAATTAGTCTTATAAGTGGAATGATGGTGTTAATTGGAGTTTTGCGTTTCACTGCTTCTCTTTGTCAGGTACTAAAAAAAAACGACTGTTTTCTATTTGTAATTTTGTTCACTAAATTATTCTTTTCTTATATTGTGTTAGAATTTTCATTCATAATTCCAGTCCTCTAACACATTTTCATATCGTTTTGACGTCTTTTAAATTAACATAAAGTTCAATAAGTAAATCAAAGAATATTCGAAAATGAATTAATTTTAGGCAATAGTTCTCTTATTTCAAGAAGTATCTGCTGAATTATTCAGTCAAATATGTATTACTCTTTAATCAAATATTGGAAGTTACTTTATGTAGTAAGGTAATAGCTAATGAAATCTTAACTATAATCCGTTCATTCCAATTCGAAAAAAATGTTTTATAAAAGGGTAAATCAGCTTCATAAATCGATTAAACGAATATTATGTAAGTTTCCAACTTGTTTATCGAGTTTGACATTAGATGATTTAGCTCTTAAAAGTTGTAATGTTTATATCTCTACATAGATGAAGATCGTTTCGTAGACGTTGTGGTACAGAATATTCAAAAATTTAATCTTATGAAGGATAACAAATAGGTCCAAGTTGTTGTCAAAAACATAATACTACGAACTAGAAGTGTTGCCATTCAAATAAATGAATTCAACTGTAGTTATTATCAGAATGAGGGGTTTGTGGAGATTGTAGTAATTGTAATTGTCGAATTCGTGAGTCGATCTAAGCTAGACCATCACTGTAAACGTAAAAGCACTGGACGGTTGTTTCGTCCTAGTATGGGACTTCTCACTACGATACCACATACTTTACTCGAACCCAGGACCTTCTATCGCGCTCGTTTAAACTTAGCTCCTAGACCACCGAGTGGACATCCAGTGGTGTTAATATCTAACTTTAGTCAATGCATGATCTTGTGCAACCTTTCACCCGTTGTCTGAGGTAGTTACCTGTCTCTACCCGATACGGACTGAACTTTACTAATAATGGCTTCGCACTTGAACTCCAAGAGTTACGTCTTGAAGCCAGTCACTAGTCAGTACATGATGGTTTTATCAAATTATTATTATGGATCGGTTGAATTTAGGAATTAACACCGTCGGATGCTGGCTCGGTGGTCCAGATGCTAAGACCGAAGACTAAGTGCTTCTATGTTTTTAATAGTGGTCTAGTCTAGATCGACTCATGAGTTCAACTGTAATTATTTATAAATTTTTAAAGATAATTTCAGTAACAAATTTATCATAAAATTATGATAATGAAATAAAAGAATGACAGTTATAAGATTAAGTTCCTTAGATACGCTTGTTACTCACAATGGAGCATAGGCCACCGACCAACATTCTCCAACCCACTGTCCTAGGCCTTCCTTTTTAGTTCTATCCAATTTTTGTTCATTCTTCTCATGTCTACCTCCACTTCTCGGCATAATGTGTTCTTGGTTTTCCTCTTTTCCTTTGGCCTCGATGACTTCATGTGAGGGCTTGTCTTGTGACGCAGTTGTTCGCTTTCCTCAATATGTGTCCTATCCACTTCGAGCACCTCTTCTTGATTTCTTCCTCCGCTGGGATCTGGTTTGTTCTCTCCCACAGTAGGTTGTTGCTTATAGTATCTGACCAACGGATCCGAAGTATTTTATGTAGATAGCTAGCCAGAAAAAATAAGATTAAGTCGTCTTTATATAAACCACTAAACTTACCGTTATTATCTAAAATAATCAGATAAATTTTATGCGTTATTGAGCATGGAGATTAAATAAAGTTTATATAATTCACAATAGAATAATGATTTATAAAAAAAAATTTAATGCTACCAGTTTATGAATGTAATTTTTATCGAATATTCAAGGTGAACTATCTTCTAGCAATTTTTTGTCATTTCAAATAATGTATGAATCGATGTTGAATGGATTGTCAGATATTAACGTTAAATGAAATAATAATATTTCAGTTACATAATTTATATAGGTATCATTGATCCACCAGGGTGCTTGGTACCTGTGTGGTTGCACCACAGGATCGAGCTGTACCATTCAGATTGTAGCGTAAAAGCCTATACAGTGTTTGGTTTTTCTATGAAGCGGGATTGAGCTGTACTGTTTGGGTTGTCATATGAAAGTCTGGATGGTGTCTGGTTCTCCTGAAAACGAATGTAAAATTACCCTGGCCCATAAGGGTATATTATATAATTAATAACTATCATAAATAATTCAGATCATTAAATATTTTCTCGTTTATTTTTAGGAAACTGTTTTGATATTCTACCATAGAAAATGAGCAATACCCAAATTCATTAATTTATCATTTAATTTTTATTTCAGGGATTTCTTTTTGGGAAATCAGGTGAAAAACTAATCAAACGTATACGTTCTATGGTTTTTGAAGCTATTCTACGTCAAGTAAGTTGAAAACAACTTGATAGTGGTTTTTATTTTTAATAGTAAACTTACATGAAAACATTTTACAAATATTTCATTATTTAAAACAATTTAGGAAATTGCATGGTTTGATGAACCAGAAAATCAAGCAGGTGCATTAACAGCCAAACTTGCTACAGATGCAACAAAAATGTCAATGATTTCTGGTGCACAACTGGGTTTTATTATAGAAGCTTTAGCACTGATAATTATGTCACTTGTGATAGCATTCATTTACAGTTGGCAGTTAACTTTGGTTGTGTTAGCATTTTATCCGATTATCGTCATTGGTGGATATTTACAGGTAACAAAATTTATTTCACAGTAATTTCTTAAACTGGATTTTTATTTTTAAATACTAAGTCGTTTTAACCATTATTCAGATACATATTCTTAAAATGGTTGCATTAAAATAAGGCCAAAGATTTTGTAGGACTTTGATTAGATAATGTTTTAGTTATATAAATTATTTAGTCAGTCAGTCGCAGTGTTAACAGTGACACAGTTAAGTTAACATTATCGTACCTATATATAGAAATGAAATTAACGTAACGAATAACAAAGTAGTCATAGTAATTGTGATAGGAAATATAAGCCCGTTATTTCAAACTAAGAAATAGTTTATTTATTTGCTGTTGATTTGGTTGTAAAAAAATGCAACCCTTTCAATTATATGAAATAACGATATTTTGAGTGTTTAGAGAGAGTGAGTTTTTTTATTACTTCTTGTCCGACATTTAGATGCGTTCAATGTCAGGAAAAGGCAAGAGTAGAAATGACACTGAATCAATGCGAGTAGCTCAAGAAGCAATCGGCTCAAATCGTACTGTAACTACACATACCTTAGAGGAATACTTTTTCAAACGTTTTAAATCTTATGCTTCTGAAAATCAAAAGTGAGTTTTAAAAAATAATTCGTTTCGTCTTTAAATGTTTTGTTTATAAAAGCAATACTTTCTATTCAAAATACAAACAATCTGAGTGAGATGCAAATACATAAAAATGAGGTTTTAAATAATAATTACCAATTTTACAATTGTTTTACTAAAAAAAAAGTGTCCAAAACACTTTTCTAGTTGTACAACATGATATCATCTTATTGTTACTTATTTATTAGTGAATACACAGCATTATACATATCCAGTACAATAGTAAAAACAATTTACTTTATTTTTTTCAAGTGAACAGCCTATTTTACATTATCTTGCACTGATTCATTTAAACAAAAGAAGATTATATTGAATAAATAATTACTCTCTAACCATCAAAAGATTGTCTAGTTTACAATTGAATTTGAATTTGAAGAAGAAGGAAAAAAAGCAGTTTTTAACCGACTACCGCTGACTACAAGTTAAATGTTATGACAATATCAGTTTTTTTTGTGTGTGTGTGATTATTTAAACACACATTTGATAGTTAGTGAATTTATCAATATTAAACGGTAATTATAATATAGACCTACAAAAAGAATCATATTTTACATGAAGTAAAGGAAGAGTGTTGTGTATATTCTTAGATTTCGAAAAATCAATTCAGTAATTTTTTTTCCAGATTAATTAACACTATAAATTATGTTTGAGATTAATAGTAATTTCTTTTCCAACATATTCATATTATTCCATTGATAATATTGAATCACACAATTTAAATGGTGTTTTGAGAGTTATCCATCTAATGATTTAGTATGTTTTAAGTTATTGCAAATTTGAGAAGTATAGGGTGTTAACTATTTGATATCAATATAACTAAACTATTTTGATTACTTTATCAATTAAACAGTATTAAAACTTGAAGTTGTCAGTAGTTATTTTTCAACTTGGATAAATAAAGTTAAGCTTAAAAGATCATTAAAATTAACGTCCGAAATATTGTGCACATGTCTTAATCTTCTTTGAAGACTAAACGTTGTTTAGAAATCGGGGACAGTGTCTTACTGATTAAAGTACTCAGCTTTAAACTATAGATGCTAGGTTGAATTCCATCTAATTTGGCAGTCATTCAAATAATAATATCAAAAAGCTCATAGACGAAACTATGTCTCAGACAGAAAAATCACTAACTATTTATTTGATTAATAGGTCCGATTCAAATTACTTTTAGTAGGAATATCGTTATTGCATGAAATACAGCGAAAAAAATGTTCAGATTTCGTTTCACTGTATATGATGTACATTTAACAAGTCAACTTAAACATCTTTAGTTCCTTTGAAAGCTTTGAGTAGATCAAATGCAATATGATTTGTAAGTTATAAATTTCAAACTATTTTCATATCTTCTCATCAACTTAAAACGGTTTACTTTCATAGAAATATATGGGATTCCAAAATAAAATAATAATAGATAAATGGTATTGTGTGAAATCTAGTTCTATCAATGTGTATTGTGAATTTCATTAATTAGAAGTGACTACAAACTCAGATTATACAAGTGAGACAAAATTAATGCAATGATTAAACTGAAGATGATCGGTAAGATTTTAAACAACAAAGTATATGAAATTCTTTCAACATAACTATGTTCATAGTGGCAAAGAAGTTTCAAACACGCTTTCCTATTGTATATATGAAATAAATCATTTGAAAAAAACCATTTCCATGTTTGTTATTTGATTGAGTAATTGCTAATGCTTATTGTCTACATTTTCCAGTATAATAAAACAAATCATTGATCATTTAAAATTCACAATTTTTGTCAATTGACTGTACACCAATGACTAGCATGATTAAACATAACTGATTTATTATTATTATTAGAAGCTTTATTCAACATTATATTATTGGTACAATATAGAATTCTCAGCATAAAGTATTTCAACAAGTTTCCTTTTCCTATACCTTGATCTATTGTGACGATAAATTTTGAATGATGACCGGTTAGATGTTAGGAGTTTGGTAATCCACATTTGATTAATGTTTATTCGTTTCAATTCATATTGTCAGCCACCATGATGTCGCTGATTGTACATTTTTGTATCACGTATAGCGAAAGGTTGTAAACTTTTCATAAACGCGCCTGAATAAATTGTGCGCACAATAGACATAATGATGTGCTAAAACAAACAACAAAACAGATCACTTGATGAAATATCTAGATCGGAGGAACAAGTAGCCCAGATATTCAAGCAGGCTTGGTTGTATATCGGTTTTTATGAAATCTTACTTGTTAACCAGAAGACATTTATGCAACTCATTATGTAAAGTAATTATGTTGAGATGACAATTCATAATGTTTCAGAATTACAATCATTAATAGTTATCAGATTAATGATAATTTTGAATAAGTATCCTTATGCATCAACGTACGTTACAAGTAACGGTTTTCATTGGTTAGATGAATTGTGTATACTTTATATTCATTGTAGACACTACTAAAATCGAACAAACAATTTAACTTTCGATTTCTGTTTTAACTTCAATTTATCAGCCAAACTCTAAGAAGATTCTGCCTTCAACAAAGAAATAAAACCCATGAGTTAATAAAACTCGGCAATCCCCACAAACTAATACTTAAAACTGTTGCAAATTAACTTGAAAATTCGTTTATAACTTATGACTAAGACACTGAAAATTGGGTACATACCCAACTACAGACTTAGAATTCAGATTGTGAACTTAATGAAATGTAGAACAACAAAACATCATTGGATAAAAGTTATTTATTTTATTCAGTTAAGCTCTCATTAGTTTCATACAGTTATAGTAGTTGTATATTAAATTTTAGTAAAATACTTTGTATATTTTAGTTTAGCAAAAATAACCCTAAAGCTATATTACTGATGGGGTTCTGAAATGCAAAATGGGACAAGTAAAAAACAAGTTCCAAGTTTAATAGGTCAAGTAATAAAGTAACACCTTAGTTCATAAATGTTGATAGCAACGACATTGTTTTTGAAGACTGATTACTAGTGGTTTACTTTTTTGTTTCTCTTCGATAGTTCACATATCGCATTTAAATTTACAATGGAATGTAAAGTCGGTATGTGGAATGCTTTTCTATCATTTATCAAATTATTATTAAGTTAGCAACAGTTAGGACAATGTTTTACAGACTGTTATTAATAAGTTCAAATAATATGATAGAAACAAATTGCTGGTTACTTGAAATTTCGACTGTACATAGAAGTTATGCATTTATGTAGTTCAATATGTAAAGTAATTATTTTGAGCTGATGATTCATCATGTTTAAGGATTATGATCACTCATATTTATCAAATAATATTGCTATGTAGCTATTCTTATACATCAAAATAATTTGCGAGTAATGACTACCACATGTTAGATGAACTATCTATTCTTTGTAGTTACAGTAAACACCACTGACATTGGTAAATAATTTAGTCTTTTCTTTGAGATTGAACTTTGAATTATCAGTGATATTATACTTTCTAATCGTTCTGAGTTTCCTTAGATATTAATCAATTTCATACATTTAAACAATAATTTTGGTAGGAAAAGTTTGTAGCTCAAGTACTTAAATGTTTTTTTTTAATTTGTCTAGTTAGGATACTGCACAGATTGACTAAACGTCTACGACTGATTAATGTGAACGAATGTAATATACCTACGAAATGTTACTATCACATAGAGATTTGTTGGGTAGATCTACTACTCAACTAAATTATAACGGTGATTGAGCATAATGAGACCGAAACTTTAAACTACTGACTAGTTTTAGATATTTAAATAAAATCCCTATTTCTTTTTTACGAGTCATTAATGTTTCTACTCAAAATTCTACATACTGGTAAATTTGCATCAGACGATTCCGGTTATTTATCCAAAATACTGACACGGGCATCTGGATAATTAAAACACTGACTTATTACGAAAGCTGAGATATCAGGATAAATATATTTTAGTCAGTGTTATGAACATTAGAAGAGTATAGTGAGATCAATTATTTTCAGTCAAATGATAAACATCACAAAGATACATTTAGACAGTAACAATACTTTTATTTATGAGTTTGATGACATGGAATTTAGACAGTGAAGTTGAGTTTGTATTTCCATGAAATATAAAAGTTATCGTTTGAGTTTATTTAGAAGTCATAAATAGTGTCGAACACATAAAGTAGTAGTATGTCGGTTGTTATCTTTCAAAATCCACTGTTGTCATCATGGAACTAGGATTTTAGAAGTATCATACTTGATTTCAAGTCTGACATTTATTAAAGAAAAGGATAAGGATTTGTTGAAGATGTTTAGGATTTCTCCTGGTCCCAAACATTCGGACGAGTTAAGTGACTTGAGACATTTTCAGACATCAATGTGTTTGAATGAAAGCCTTCAAAGTCTCTACTGACTCATGAAATTGTGCCACAAGGAACTGTTTATTCCCGTCTTCTTTTCTCTTTTCTCTTCATGATCTGCTATCTTCCACAGAAAACACTTTTGTGAAATGTGTGAACGATCTCACTAGATGTGTGCTGATTTCTACCTCTTCACACCACCTTGAAATGAATGAATTCTTGTTTCTTACTGAACGATGGTCTGTTGCTAATGATCTCCCAATTAATCCTTCTTAATTTCATACTGCCAACTTTGACCTGAGAAACGAATAGCACTTAAAAACCCTGTTGGAATTTCATAAAGCTTGTACTTTTGGAAATTGTTTGATAAACACAGAGTCAAAGATCACTTTTCTCGTTGTAAGGTCTTCCTCTGATCTCTCTTTGTATTCTCATAGTTTGTTGTTATCGAAGAAAGTTTCCCATCTGACTTACTACATATAGAGTGTGAATGTTTTTGAGACTACTCAACCTTTACTTTTAAGATTAGTTAATTCTTGAATATTACCTATAATTCTTTACTATTCTTCATCATTATTTCCTGTGCTTTTGCGAATAGACTTTGCTGTATTACGGAGAGTTTTGAAAGTATTTGAAAGGGTATGTGGTGAATCTCCAGGGTCATTATTAATATTGTTGTTGGCAGACATCTAAAATTTTTCAAACTCTTAGCAGGTATTATCTTACAAGATGCTGATCATCCACTTCATTCAAGAACTTATCCTGCAGCGAAATTGATTATCCTGTCCAAAACAACATGTTCTTTGACACAATCAAAGGTCGACAGGTATCCCTTTCATGTTACCACCAACTGTGTATACTAATTTATATGTATCTGCCAAAGCAGTTACATTGGTAGAACAGAAAGGAGAGCCTACGTCTGATTCAAAGAACATATTCCGAAAAGTTTAAGATTAAATGGATTGAACGCATTCAACAGTGCCATCGCAAGACATCTCCTTGACCCAGGACATGAAGTTGATATACTGAAGTCTTTCAAGGGGATTAACAAACAATCAAACTCCAACCTCTTGAAATTTGTCGAAGTAATAGCAATCAAACGTCTAAAACCAGATCTATGTATACAAAAATAGACAGTAATAAATCTATCTTTACCCTGATAACAATACCCCCCTTTTTTTATTCATTTATTTCTCTATTTATTTATTACGTCATTACTCCAACTCTTTTAAATTACATCATACATAACTGACTGATTTCAATTTATATTTTCTTTATTACCATTAATCTATTTTCATGAGTTCTAATCACTATTTCAATGTTCCGGAACTTTCCCTCTGAAACTCTATTTATTCGAGACAAAATTTTATGACCTCATTAACCCTATCGGAATCTTTGCTACAACATGATACATTTATTCATCCTTAATCACCCTTTTATGTATAAGTAGGTCAATATCTGTAGTAATTTTGAATTTCAAATAATTTAGGTTGTAAGCAGCTGATGAGAACCTAACGAAATAAAATGAATTCATGTTATTCTGCACCAATCTTTGTTCTTGCATCCACTCTCTGTGTTCTCCCAAATTCTAATCTTCTGAATTCTTCATATCCCTTTTTTCCTCTTTCCAAATTTATTTCACTGGATTATACTCTTTAAATAACATCTTCAAACCCTAATCTTCCCGATTACTGCTTATACTCTTATTATCGACAACTGCATCTCTGTGCTAATGTGGTGTGGCAACTCGAACTGATGTATGTACGTACAAAGTTCTACGTTGTTACTGACTGACTGACTGACTGACTGACTGATATCTTCTGAAAGAACGACACGTCAATACATTAGAATTTATACACGTAAGCAAATGTACAAAAGCTCCACAATTCCTTATCTAGCAAGTATATTATGTGACGAACAGATTGTTATTGCCCTAGTTAATAACTTGTATTCTGGGTAGTTTATATATATATATATATATATATATATATATTCAGTTATCAGTTAGTTTTTTTCTTTTGTAAAAGAGACTTGTTGAAATACTTTGAACTGAGAATTCTACATTGTACCAAAAATATAATATTGAATAAAGCCATTAATAATAATAATAATAATAATAATAATAATAAAATTTAATTTTACACCTTTTACGAAACCTCTTTTTCTGTAATTAACCGGGTGTTACAATATTTATGTGATTGACTTCTAAAACTATTTATAACTCTATTCAAGAATATAAATGACAAAATGTTAAAACTTCTATCTTTTTGTAAATCGAAATTTAATTTTTTTTTCATAAATCTGCTAGAAAAAGAACCAAAAAAATTCTTTTTTACTCTTTGGTTTATGCACTCGCTGAGGGTGTGCCAATGTTTTCATTTGCGGCAGCATTCGCCCTAGGTGCATATTTGGTTTCAACAAATGTTATAACAGTAGTCGCAGTATTCAGGTAAGTTTCTTACTGTAACGAGATATTAATTATCTATGGATTGATTTATTCCCAGTACATTATAGCTGGTATAACAGCATATAAATACAAGTGGACAATTTTTCCACTATGCTACTGGACAAGATTTGGCTTTACTCTCTAAAGAAATATCATATTCTATCGCATCTATGTCAATGAATGTGTTGTAGATGTATTCTTGATAGGACTAGCCGATGAAAGCTTCCTACTCGCTTTTAGTTTCCTTACTCATTTTTAGCAAGTAATAATTAGAAATACGAAACTGTTGTTGGTTCATAAATTTAATCAGTTTTACTAGAACTGTGAATTTCAACTTGCAACAAGAAGTGGACTAAACGATATTTTTTCTATCGGACTGTAGTATGAGTGAAACATGATTTACATAGAAGCTTAATTTATAAGGGAATGCTTCAGAACAGTACATCAATCCTCATATTTTTTATTATATTAGTAAAATAATCAATACACCGTTAGGAAAAAGCACTACAGAAGACACTGTTTTAGTACTTTGAAAGGCCGAAACTGTTGACTCATTAATATGACTTTTCACTTCTGTCGGTATAATGATCAAATTTCATAAACGTCGGTTTTTAAATGCTGAGTGGTTGTTACTTCAGGATGTTAGATTTCAAATGTAAAGAACTTTGACCATTTGATAAATCGAAAGGTGATTCGGACTTTCCATCAATTTTTTTATTCCCAGTTGGATCATTTGCAAATAAGAATGCAATGTAAAACTTCACATTGATGGTATATGAGGTGTACTGTAAAAATGCCCTTATATACATTAAGATTTAATATTAGATGTTTCTAGGCAACGATAAACAACCATAAACAGTGGTTTCATCTTAGTTAACACTTTTTTATCATTTTGTACCTGATGTATTAAAGGAAATGAGGTCCCATGATGTATTCAAGCTTAATACATCGAGTATTACAGTCATGGATGTCACTGGTGATATTCTGAAAAGCAATTTTCCTCGTAACGAAATCCGAAGGATACATTATTTAACATTTCTAAAGTAACCATTATCCTATTACTATGCTTTGATAACTTCGTTATCAAAATCTAACATCTGGGTTTCCTAACAATTTACATCAAATACAAGGTACTGCGGTACTGATTCAGTTATTTTATTAGCAACGTCGTAACTCAATCGATAGAATTTCGTCGGTGTAAGGATTAAAAAATATGATATTGGCTGTAATTGATTAATTAATCAACTCACATGATACCACTGTATGTAATAAATAGCAGTTCTAAGTACTTCACTCTTTTCAGGACAGTTTTTATGCAAAATGACTATTTTGTTGTGAAGATTAATGTTGATTTTGCACTATGGTATTTTTTCACTTCTAATAAGAAAGCATGGCAAGCCTTGTCAATTTTCACTTTTTAAATATTTCGAATTTTAATAGAGTTTTTGCAACCATCAGCATGAGTGCACAGTCACTTGGTCGTTCTGCTACGTTAGTTATGGATGCAAGGGAATCAAAGCCTGCAGCGAAAAGTATTCTAGCACTTTTAGACAGACAATCCCTCATTCCAGCTAACGTGGGAATTGTACCATCAGAATCATTCAGAGGGAAAATTTCTTTCAATCACGTTTATTTTAAATACTCTTGTCGATCTGAAGGCCGGGTTTTAAAGGTAAACTGATAAAATAAAATTTTGAAGAATGAAAACTTTTCACTCTGATCTCATTATACTCTGTGTAAGTCTCACTTAATTCACCAGAGTAACAGAATGTATACTCACAAACGGTGATTTGTTAAAAAGGAGAATTTGAAATTATACAGAAGTTAGTTGTTTATTTGAGTCAATCATAGAGTTCTGCATCAACAGTTTGCGCTTTTACGACAGTAAATAATAGCGCAAACTCCAAGTAATTCAGAACAGTTAAAAATACAACTCTCCTAAATGGAGACATTATGCATGATGCTAATTTGATATGAAATCGTATTTCATTGTTATACTGCAATTCAACATTTAATGCGACATAGTAGGGTTAATTTGTTTTATACGGCCTTTTATTTATCAAATAAAAAATCTATCACCCCATTTATATGAAAAAATATTATCTAGAATGGTTTCACTTTCGTTCACAGAACTTTACTCATACAGTTGTGCCCGGTCAAACAGTCGCGTTAGTTGGACCTTCTGGGTGTGGGAAATCAACATTGCTTCAGTTAGTATTGAGATTCTACGATCCATCATATCACGGTCCCGATAGTGGTCTGTTTTTTGATGATATGAATATTAGAAATATTGCACCTAGTTGGGTTAGAAAACAGATTGGTCTTGTTTCACAAGAACCCACTTTATTCGATCTCACGATAAGAGAGAATATTGCGTATGGAGACAATAGTCGAGAAGTGACGATGGAAGAGATTATTGAGGCAGCACGTGCAGCTAACATCCATGATTTTATTACAACACTTCCAGAAGTGAGTGAAAATATTCGGTTTGTTAAACTCACTAAAAATTACGCTTCAGGTTTATATTTTCATTGTATTGTCAGCTTTTATGTTATTCGTTTTGTTACGAATATTTTCAAATATTATTAAATAACTGTTTAAAACTTCCACTGTTTTTAAGCAATATGAAACCAAAGTTGGACAACGTGGAACAAAGTTATCTGGAGGACAGAAACAGAGGATAGCCATTGCACGAGCTTTAGTTCGTAAACCTGTTTTACTCGTGTTGGACGAAGCCACCTCAGCTTTGGACAATGAGAGTGAGCGGATAGTTCAAGAAGCCCTTGACGCTGCTATGGGGTCGAGAACATCATTAGTTGTTGCTCATCGCTTGTCCACAGTTGTCAATGCTGATCTGGTAGTTGTGTTACAGGATGGACGTAAGATAGAGTCAGGACCACCAGCAGCACTTCTGGAAATGAAAGGAGCTTTCTATGCATTGCATCATGTAGAAAATTGAATTGTCTACCTGAACTTTTCTGTGATCCTACTATTTTCAAATACTTTATACTATATTTGGAACAAAGTTAATTATTTGGCGTATCTTTAATTCATTTGCATAAATAAATTATTTTATTCAGCGAAATTGTATCACTGCTATTTAACGTCCGCTTTCTGGTCATTGTAAACTTTATGTTAGTGATCATTTAAAGTATTCAATTAACATTGATTAATTTCGTTGATGATATTACTTAAGGCGTAAAACTAGTCTGTCTGTGAAAATGGAAGTTAATGAAATATAAGTGGAAGTTAAGCGAACCAGTTTCTCATGGAGTTGTATGAGAAATTGAGTATCATATTTAGTTACTATTGTTGCGACAAAGCAACTTTCCAATGTCTACTAGTTTTCAGTTATCCTTCAGTTGATGTCAGTTCAAATAAATGTAACTCACAGAAATTTAAGTTCGGAAATAGGAAACTTCACAAGATTATATTCTAAAAAAAGTTGTCTACCACCAACATAAAGGAAATTAATGTTGTTCAATTTTACTAAACGACGGCTTGTTTATACATAAAGGTTTAATGCATTTTTCTAGATCGTCAGTTTCAATTATCAAAGTCGATTTTGGTTTTGTTAAATATCTCAATTGTTTCTATGCAATGAACACAAGAACAACATGATTTTTCATAAATATAACAACAACACTCCTCAAGAGTCAACTTAACTTAGGCTCATGGAATTAGCATGAAATTCAATTACTTTATTCATTAAAATGTGTCATAAGTTACTATTAGCGTACAGTTTTTAATCGACGAATATATCATAAGTCTTTTTGATCATATGGCACTAGGTGTTGTTTTGACTATTTCAAATACAATATTTCAAATAGTGTTGAATAGCTGGATATTTGTTACTAATATAGATATGATACATTATACACGACACAAATACATGTGCGGAAGCAAATGTCATCAAATTTCGAGGAAATCTGTACATAATTTCGAAAAAAGCGTTAAAAAACGATCATATCAGAATAATGTGAATTAATCCAACTTGTTGAATCACTTCAGTTGCCTATTACCTAACAATAGTGGGATAGTTTATTTTAAGAATAAAATGCGAGTATACTCAATATTATAATACCAGGAAAGCTCTTATCAACGATGATTATAAGAAAGAGTAGTAAATCTTGTAGAGTTGTATAGTATATTCACATGTTAAACAATGTAAATATATCAGGAGCAACATGTGATGACAAGTTATTGAAAAACTGTTAGCAAAATTTACACAGTTTCTGCTGCAAAAGTGAAGTGATTGAAGGAATGAAATGAGTGAAACTGAAAGAAGACGTAAGGGTAAAGAGTAAGAATTTATAATTGAGAACTAGTCATAACATGTAAAGCAACCATACTTTGGAACATGAAGTCACCAAGGAAGTACACGACGGACAACAATATCCTACTGAATGAATAAATCATTTTTAATTCTGTGGTAATATGTAATTGCTTGAATCTTTTCTGTCCGTTGGTTATTTTGAAGGACTTTGAGATGTCACTGTCATCTTTACTAACATGCAAAACTTTGTGACACTATTCCTGAACACTACACCTGAAAAAAACTACATCTTCATTAGAATTAAGTTTAAGCGCTACAACAGACAAACACATATCATTTCAATTTCCCAGGTTGATTCAAAATTTAATAGTCACCCTCTAAACACATTGCACAAAAAGATCATGTTAGTTAGATCTGGATAGTTCTTATTCGTTCATAAATGTTTTTCATGTATTATTTAGATTACTGTGATATTTATTTTCTTTTTCACGGGTTTCGATTTTGTGACCTGTTTCTACTAACTAATTTCTACATGGTAAGGTGAGCCCCCGAAATGCCCTCGTACTGTAGAGAGTGGTGAGAGTCAGCTCTCCCTCGCCAAATGCTCTCACATCGCCACGTGCATATAATCACTGCCAGGGAAGTCCTATTGACTGCCTTCTCACGGCAGGGGTGTTGTTTACGAAATCATGAGGACGAAAAGTGAATGTTCGGCACTTTAATCGGGTTGGTGGATATAGGAGACCCACCTAGGGGAGTTGGGAAACCGTGATTCCAAACCAATGGTGTACATGGGCTCCAGTATGGTGAAGGAACAAATGGCGTGTGAACCAATTATTAATCACCAGCTACCATGGGACTGCATCTCCTTACATTGCTCCACTGTCTTGTGGGTTAGACCTTTAGGTCAAAGGCTCGGGGTGTGGCTCCCTAAGGAAACCATCTGCTTCGGTTTGGGCACCAGAACAGTATCCTAGCCCTCCTTGTACTAATGTGTACATGTTTAAACAAAATAAAAGGTGAGTCATCTACAGTTTAAAAAAATGTTATTTGAATGCTTTTTTCACATATTTATCTGTATTATTGTTCATTATTATGACAAGTCAATTATGTTAAGTTTTAAGAATTCACCACTTTAACATAATTATTTATTATTGGAGTATTTCTAATTTTTCTTAAACAATAAGTTGAATCAACTTTGCTTAGTTTATTGGGTTCTATCATCCTCATAAATTATAAGTGATTACATGTTGCAATGATGTTTTCGTTTCTGTGATCTTTGAGTTATACTTCAGGAATTCATTGAGTGCCTTCAACGCAATAAGTTGATCACAAGATTTTAATTTCTGAAAACTTTTTTCATCGATTACATATTGATTGGATCATGATTCATTTGTGACATTTATCATTTAGGAATGTGAAATGTCTATGAATACTACAAATGTTACATAATACATTCGTCTTTTACATTCCATAAAACTATTGTAGAAATTTATTGAATGTAATTTCATGTATTAAATAAAATTATGTATGACATTATTTCGAAGCATTTTAATGTGTTTGAAACCTGTCTGACAAATATATGAATTAATGTCAGTGAGGATCGATTACATCAATTACTTAATGAGGCGTCATAACTCTTCTAAATGAAGACCTTCTGACTCCCAGGGGAGAGTTTAAAAGGTTTGAATAATTTCTTCTGGTTAGCGTTTTTTTAGCGAGTTAGTTTTCTATGGGATGGGGTCGCTAACCCCATGCTTAACCCTCCTCCTTTATCCGGGCTTGAGATTGGCAGTAGCTCCCGGAGGGACTCCAGGCGAAGTTTGATTACATCAATATTTGCTGTAACTCAATCTTATCCATTTCAGAATATTTCCCATCTGTGTCAATCCTTTTACCCTATTCTTGATACTATTGTTGAAATTAAACCTAAAAGTCTCTTAGAAACCAATATTTTTCAATTAGTTCGTCGAGGTTTATTTTGTGTAGATGATATTTTCAGCCCCAAATTTTTTAGTCGAATAGTGAGTGTAGAATTCATCATAATTAGAACTGTTAATTTCAAAGAAACATAGACCATACCTGTTATATTTTCGTTTAAATAATAAGTCAACAGTTGTCTTGATTTAACTGACAGTCCTTACATCCTTAACTCTTGATTTACTTGAAAATGGAGTTTTATGCTACTGTATTATTATCATGGAGATTCTTCAACATTTCATTAATAGCCTAAAAGTTTATGTTAATGCTTACCGAAACTATGAGCAGCTCAGTTCTTGTAATTACTGAACAATCCAACAATATGCATGATGCCTGACATTTCGTTTATTAATACTTTTAAGAGAGAGATATGTTTGTATTATAAAAGAACCTCCTATTATTATACAGAGTTCGAAATCTCTTTGTCATTACTACAGTTAGCGATATTCTTATTGGGTCACTCAGGCTGTCATTAACTGTGGATACGAGAGAATAAATAACATAAATAGATTTTCATGTAAATGATGCAAATTAAACATAATTTAAATAACTGTCTATTTCATTTATACTTAAGAATTTGTTCAAAGTATCTATGGTTGTTCAGTTTAATAAAAAAAGAGCTCACTCTAAAAACAGAACTATGTATACTTGTGCATTATTTCGATGATGTACTAAGTACATCTCATTTCTTTTCTAAGTAGGAGGAGAAAAAAATTGGTGAATTCACATTACATTATAATCTATTCGTTTCATTGTTCAAACATTAATTATTCTTTACTTAACCCTGATGATTCTAAAAACCTTATTACTTTTTCTAGTCACATGTTTAATTAAAGAGATATATTTCATTATAATATAATTTAATAACCTTTTATGATTCATTTCATAATAACTAAAATCGATTTTTAATTATCAGTTACTAATACTTCAATAATGGGTTCGGGTGTTTTGATTTGTAACTTGATCATTCACATATGTTTTGTTACAATTATAATTTCACCGATTGAAATCATGATTAAATTGGAACTAGACCACCATGAAAAACCTGGAAACACTGAAGGGCCGTTTCATCCTAGTATGGGACTTCTCAGTAGTGCGCACCCATGATCCCGAACCCCGCGAGATTCGAGCCCAGGACCTATCAGTCTCGCACCAGGCGCTTAACCAACTAGACCACCAAGTTGGCATCCAACGTTGTTAATATCTAACTTCAACCAATCCACGAAGCTGCGTCACCGTATACCATTGTCTTCAGTGAGTTGATATCTCACAACAGACCTGGTTGAACTCCACTGGTAACGGCTTTTCATTAGAATTCGAGGAATATCTCTTGAAGTCAGTCACTAATGAGCAGATGATTATTATCAGAAGGGGTTTTGTGGAGATTTTTAGAAAGTTCACTGATTGAAATCATGAGTCAATTGAAGCTAGACAATTATAATTGATGAAAATGTTTAACGTAAATAGATTAAATTTTTATATCAATTCTGCCTTCTTCATTGTTCTATCAAAATTTACAAGACAGATTAGTTACTTTAAATTATTGAAATCTCAGATAATAATCTCATTTATGATTACTTTTTAAAAGTTCAAATGTAAAACAGTTAACTTTGAACTGAACTTAATCGACTAATGAGATGAACGAACATTACGTGATTTAATAATCTTCACAAAATCCAAATTCATAACATTATCTAATGGTTGTAATTTTAATTTCGTTTTGGAATTTTATGATGATCCCCATGTGTAACCGCTTTGAAACCTACTTCTATACAATCTATCGTTTCGTTTCAAACTAAATGGTAAGTAGCAAGATAAATACATGTCT